CCGCAGCGCCGCCGCCCCGCCCCTCGTCTCGCATCGGCCGCCCCGCCCACGTCTCCGTCTCCGAGGGGCGGGGTCTGGCACCCAAAACAAAACCTGTCCCCAGGTGGCATCCGGGGACAAGGGTGGGGAGCGCACCCCTCCAGGGACCCACCTTCCCCCTCTGGCTCCCCTGGGCGCTCTCCGCTGAGGGTCCCGGGCACAGACACCGCCGGCTCCGGGGCCTCTTTCTCCTGCGACGGGCGGGCCCCAGGAGGACCGCGGGCTCCCGCCAGCTGGACGCTTCCCCGCACAGAGGCCTCTCTGTCCCCGCGGCCGCTAGCTCCTCCCCTGGACCCTGGGGACAGCCTGGCCTTTCCTGCCTGTCGCAGGACAAAGCCACCTTTTCCTGTGTCCCCAGATCCCCGTCTGGTGACCAGCCCTGCTCAGCTCCGAGGTCCTCTGGTCCAGCCTCCTTCTCTGGCCGGACACCTCTCGCAGCTGCCCTCCTGGCTCCCACGGCCTCCTCAGGCCAGCCGGGCAGCCCTGTGTCTCCCGGGCCCCTTCTTCCTTTCCAGCCAGGTCCAGTCACTCTGTCTGGTCAGCCTGGGCGGCACCAGGGCTCCGCCTGATGTCCAGCTCTGGGAGCCCCTCTCAGGACTAACTGGGAGGACTCTCCTGAAGCCCAGGAGTGCGCCTGCCTGGAACCCCCTGTCTTCACCATTGCAGGACGCCCTCCTGGCCCTGCCCTGGTCCCCGTGCCTCCCCGGACATCCCCGTGCCACCAGCACCTGCCCCTGAGCATTCTCCCGTGCCATCTGCTGCTTGCTAGGCAGGCTGTCCATCCTCAGGGATGAGTCACTGAAGAGTCCAGACAGGCCCGCGGCACCGGGTCCACCTTGGCCCTCTGGCTGGCCTCCCTCAAGCCCGTCTTGGGTGCCTGCCTACCTGGGCCTCTGTGTCCTTGGGCCCCAAGGCATCGGTGCCTGTGCCTCTGGCTGTAAGGAGAGTTGCCCTGGCCAGGGAGTGTCCTGGGTCCACTTCTCCCCTGGGGTTACCCCTCAGAGTCAGGGCTCCTTTGTGGTAAGGAATTGGGGGGCACCTAGAAAGCTGGGAGCCTGGAGTCATCCCCTGGAGCCTGGTCTGCCCCTGGCTTCCCCTTTACGTTTTTGTTGTTATTAATCCGTACCTGAGGATATTTTTTCCACTGATGTTTAGAGAGTGGAAGGGAGAGAGAGCGAGAGCGAGAGAGAGAGATCGATGTGAGAGAGACACACCGATTGGTTGCCTCCCACGTGTGCCTCAACCAGGCCGGCGCTCAAATCTGCAACCCAGGTACTCACCCTTGACCGGGAATCGAACCCAAGATCCTTCCGTGGTTGGGCTGACGTTCTAACCACTGAGCAACACCAGCCAGGGCTCTGGCTTCCCCTTTAGTGGCAGGACTCGCCGAAGTCCCAGGACAGTATTCAAGCCATTTGCCCTGAAGTTCACTTTTGCCCTCCTGCTCTGCTCCTGGCACCCCACTCCTGCTCCCCCATGCTTAGGGTTCCCGGCACCCCCTCAGCCCTGGGCATTTGCCCATGGTGTCCTGCCTATCAGGAATGCCCTGCCCTGTCTGCTCCTGGCTGATCGCTGGGCATCCTTCAAAGCTCCACTCAGGGTACCTGACCCACCCCAAAAGTCAGGTTAGGTGCCTGGACCTTCAAAGCATGGGGTTGCTTTCTCCTTGCTAGGATGGTTGTCTCCTCATGAGTCCCTGTGCTCTTTGGAAGCAGGGTGGGGCCACCCCAAGGCCTGGCAGTGGCCTGGCCCACAGTGGGTGCTTGGTGGATGGATGGCCGGGACATGGGAAACCTTACCCTGGAGATCACAGTGGAAACGCCATCCTTGGGTGGGACACCTAGCCAGGGTGAGGCCTGTGGGAAGGGAGGGCTGGGACAGCTCCGTGGAGTTAGTGTGAGTATGGAGGCCAGTGGCCAGCAGGCGAGGCTGTGCTGCTGCAGCTCAGGACAGCACAGCCAGCAGTGCCCAGGTCAGGCTGGGGCCCATGAGCCTCAGCTCACCATGCGGAGAAAAAGTCTGACGCACAGCGGGAGGTGCCCTCCACTGACCCTTGGTTTATGGGCTTCCCCGTGGCCCCTGGCTAGGCTCTGGAGGAAGGTACAGAAGAAACTGGAGTCGGTGCCAACCCAGGGCGTGGGATAAGGTGTGGCCCCGGGTCCTTCTTGTCCTGCACTCTGATCACTTCCTTCTTCCAGCCTACTTTCCAGCCTGGCACTTTCCCAGCTCCGTATCTTTCAACTTTGCTGTCACCTCGGGGCTCCTCAGAGCCCCAGGCCAGGTGGTTCCCCTGTGGGCCCTGCATTTTTCCAGGTACCCATCCCAGTTGTGATTATGTTCTTGCTGTGCCAGCCTGGAGCTCCCTGGAGGTGGACAGGAGGACTGGGTCCCTCTGTCCCCTGCCTAGCACCGGGCATGGAGTTAAAGCAGGCAGCTGCCTCCCAGTCCCTGAGCCTGTCCCAGTGCTCTCTGGTCTCTACTTCTGCAATGACAACCAGGGACCTGCGGTGCCCTCTGGGCCCTGCTCCCCTGAACCCTTAGGATGAGGCCCTTGAGCAAAGGGAAGGCGACTCCTTGGCCACAAATCCACCCTTGGCAGGTGGTCCAGGAGGTTGTCACCCATCTCTGCCTCACTGGCACGCCCACCTGTCTGCACCCCTGTCTACCCACCTGGGTCAGTTCCTTTTCTCTTGGTCCTGTAGGTGCCTCTGGCTACACAGTCCCAAATGTCCAAACCCTTCTTTTTTTTTAATTTTTATTTTTAATATATCTTTATTGATTTCAGAGAGAGGAAGGGAGAGGGAGAGGAAGAGATCAGAAACATCAAGGATGAAAGAGTTGTCACTGATCAGCTGCCTCCCACATGCCCCTGACTGGGGATGGAGCCCGCAACCCGGGCATGTGCCCTGACCAGGAATCGAACCACAATCTCCTGGATCCTAGTCGATGCTCAACCGCTGAGCCATGCCTGGCCAGGCTGTCCAAACCCTTCTGATCTCAGCCCCACTTCCACCCTGAGGCAGGATTTTGGGGTCACCTTGACTGAGGCAGGCCCCGAGTTCCTGTTGTGACACCTGGCTTCCAGGGCATGTGGGCAGGGGCAATAAGAGTTCCCATGGACTCTGTCCTGGGGTGTGGAGGCCACTTTGCTCCTACACACACCCTCCACCTCCAACATCTGCCCCAAATCGCCCTTCAACTGCCACAAACTATTGGCATTCACTCCATTCTCATTCATTCATTCATTCATTCATTCATTCAGCAAGGCCCAGTCACTCATTTATTCAGTCAACAAACACTAACTGGCTGCCTCCTGTGTGCTGGGCATTGATCTACAGGGATGGGCAGGACAGTGAGCCAACAACACCCACCTCTCGTGGAGTTCACCTCTGGGTGGCCAGGTGAGGGGAGACAGGCAGCAGAGGCTGGAGAAAGGCGGGAAGGAACCAAGAAGGATGGGAGGGTGCCCTCTGAGCTGACAGGACCTGGGAGGGTCTCTTCCAGGAGGTGACCTGCGCGCAGAGGCCTGGCAAAGCCTGGCAGGGAGTCACGGGACTTTCTGGGGCGGAGGGGTGGTCCAGGTAGGAGGAACCGTAAGTGGAAAAGCCTTGAGGGAGGTCTGAGACCTTCCTTGGAAAGAGAACTTTCAGGTCCACAGAACTCACAGTGGGCACCCAAGGGGGCTGTGAAGCTCCGCCTCCTCTCAGGAAGGGTGTATGCGTGGGGAGGGGCCCCATGTGCAGAACCTGCCTGCAAGGAGACAATTGCCTCAACGGGGGTTAGCTGGGGCAGGCGCGGGGAGAGCTTACTTTTCATTTGGGGTCTGAAAGCACCATTTAAGGTCGTTTTAACTGCCTGGCGGATGTGGCTCAGTGGCGGAGCATCGACGTGTGATCAGGCGGTCCCAGGTGGATTCCCGGTCCGCGCACAGGCCGGGGTTGCCGCTCCGCCCCCAGTAGGGGGCGTGCAGGAGGCAGCCCATCGGCGACTCAGCATTGATGCCCCCTCCCGCCCCGTCCTCCTCCCTCTCTCTGAAATCAGTAAAAACATTTTAAAAAATTGTTTTAACCATGTGCACGTGTTACTTTTAGACTTGATAAAACTAGTTTCTAAAATTCTGTCCCCAAATGGCCCAAGATACTTCCCTACTTATCACAAGGAAGGTCACACGCAGCAAGGTATTTAAAAGCCTGACAAAGTGACAAGTTAGGGCTCCGGGCGGCTCCGGGGCGGCTCTGGCCAAGGGCACGGGGACGGAGGAGAGGAGTGAAGGGGGAGCCCCCGAGGGTGCGGGGTGGCCTTCTTGGGCTTCGGTGACGTCCAGACGCCTGGTCCTGGCGCTGACCTGGGTCTGTCGTGCGCGGCGCGGCGCAGCCGAGAGTCGGTCCTGGTCTCGGGTTCCAGGCGTCCGGCGAGCGCAAGCCTGGCAGGTGCAGGGACGGACCAGCCTCCGCCTCGGTCCAGCGCCCCCACCCAGGGCAGCGGGCACAGGGGGTGTATTTGAACTGAACGCAGTCGGCAAGGGGGGTGTCGCAGAACCTGCGGGGAGAGGCTCCCCGGCTCCTGGCCCCCAGGCCTCAGGCGCCCCTGCGCCGCGGCTCGCGCGACCCCCGAG